AAAGTATTTTTGTCATATTCAACATGAAAACTACTATCGGACAATCTTTTTTTCTTTGGTCACGATTCTATGGTCACGCCACGCACTACTCATGACAGATGATTCTAAAAGATCACGACTTTCAAATAATCAAATACATATCCCTTAGCAGCTTCCACCTCAAACTTGTGGGTCAAAAGAAAAGACGGATGCTTTTAAAAAATTAGAGTCTTTGATTTCTATAATATTAAAGTTTTTCGAAACATGTTAACACATATTGTTTTTAACACTTTAATATCAAATTTAGCTGATGTTCTTTTTTATTGTTTGCAGTAGCGAAGTCTGAAGATTAAAATAGGTTAATATAATTAGAATTTTTACTCTCAATACATCATGATAATCTTTCAATACGAAGTAACGGTCAAAATGTGTTTACAACTAAATTGTTCGGTCGATGAGTTTATGGTTATGAACTTCAAAAAATATTAAGCTTATAAAAGTTTGATATAGTAAATGGAAGATTTTTTGAAATCTGTCAATTACGTAGAAAATTTTCTAAGTGACAAACCGTTATCGAATCAGGAGTATGTGCATCGAGTAGACCGTAATGAGCTATGATAAGCTGAAAAGAGTATTGATCCTTAATTTATATCTGTGGAGATGCTGTATCTTTGCGATATTTGTTAAGTCAATACCATAGTTTCCTTTAGGAACATCGAAAAACGTGATTTTCGATTTTTGGCATGAAAGCTGTATATAGAGACAGATTTTAATGAGAATAGTTTATGGTGAAAGCTGTATGTCTTTTGATTTACTTGTATCCTGTAATGCGAATATCGAGATGTGTTAGTATATATCAATGCTGTAAGCGACACGGCTTTACTATCGCCATAACTTCGAATAGAAAAAAAATAGGATCTAATATTTTCATGATAACCTATTGTCTCCATGGTCAATTTCTATATAAAATTTCAAGTCGAAATTCGAATATCAAATAAACTAAAGGTCCGAACTCTTCGAATATTCATAGTTCATTAAGGCCTACATAATGTTAATAGTGTTGACTCAAAAGCAACTAATCATTTGAAATGCTCTCGCAAAATATTGATTCACTAGATAAAAACAAAATACAACTTTCGCTTTCTGTATATGCTCTCTAGACTTGGCTCTTTCAGACGAAAAAGATTGATATTGATATGATCTTTCATGACTGAGAAATAAATATCGACGTTATTCTAAAGACTATTGCATCGTTTATTACTTATCAAGAAAAAAATGAGTTGCATCGCATGAAAGTTTCGATTTTTTTATTATATTCTATACAAAACAGATTCTTGCCTGAAATTTTCTAGTTGAAATTATTTGAAAAGATTTTGTTATTTTCTTTTACTTTTTTTTATCTATACAGATCATAGCGTGGATAGTTTATCGGATGATGATGATGATGACACAAAGGAAACAACAGCTAATGAAATCGAAGAAGAATCAACTAATCTATGTGGAAAAGATATTGATTATTCTGTTCTATATGATGATACAATTGAAGATTATAGTTTTACAAGTGCACGTAAACAAGCTTCAAAGCGAATTTTACATGATCAACAAGAAGTGATGTTACAATAAGTCCAAGAACACGATTAAAAAGCTTAAATATTGTTTTTTTCTTATCATTATCTGCTTCACATGGACTACTTGATACTCTGTTCTAGACCAATGTTTTTCTATTATAGGGATGAAAATTAAGAAAGAGAAATAGACATTAATGTTGAGATCTGAGTTTCTTTAGTTATATATGTCTGTCATTATGTTTTATGTATTATCTTATTTTGTTCATCTAATTTCGAGTTTATAGAATTCAGTCCTACCATTTAATTATATATTTGCCCTTGTTCTTCTTTAGTTTTATCTCTTTAAAAAATATATATATACACAACAAAAGATGAATGATTATCTTAATGTATTTTTAGTGATAGAATGAATGATCTTCACTAAGATTGATCACGAAACACTTTTCTTAAAAGGCTATTTACGTTTTACTGGCATTAGAAGTATTTTCGTCCTTGTAAACCAAAAACTTATGTTTCAATCTATCAGCTGATCGAAGCTGGAGTGACATTGTAAAATAATCATTGCATGATTTATTTCTAAGACAATCAAATAATAAATATCCACATGTTGCTAATGAATACTACAAATAAGTCACTTAATTTGTCACTGTCAGCGTTTTAATTATCTTGAAGTTTATATAAAACGAAATTCACAAAAGTTTACTTTTTTGTCGGACTCCTTCTAACGAAACTGAAGTTAATATTGACGATCCAAAACTAGATGATATTGATTCAACTTCAATATTCTCATTTCATGTTCAAACGAACACTTTTTTGTATCGACACTGATGTAAGCGACATCTAAATAGAATAAGAAAGCATTTTTTGATTTCAATTTCTTTACTTAATTAAAACGAAAACTATTAGTACTATTAGTTTGCGTGAAATTAAATTATTTCCTTTCATCAATGACTATCGAAAAGAATAAATTACAAGTAATAGAATAAAATATTTATATTTAATTAATATTCTTAATATTATTCTTTTTAATTACCAACAATAGATGATTTTAATTTTCTTGAAACTATCAGCCGTGGTGGTTATGGGTATAATCAAAATTCATATGACTATCGAAGAAAAATAATGTTTAATTTTATTTTTATTTTAGACGAATTTATTTAGCAATGAAGAAAAATGATGAAAATAATACAAAATATGCACGTAAAGTTATTAATAAACACTATATACGTAAAAAAAATTTAAATGATCGAAGTAATGGAAATTTTTCAAGTCAACAGGTTCCTTTTTTGTTTTCAAAATAAAGTTTTTTTTTAGTTCTCAATGAACTTGATGCATTAGTAACGATGCATAGTCAATCTGTAGTTCGTCTTTTTTATTCTTTACAAAACAAAGAAAATATTTATTTAGTTATGGAATATATGATTGGTGGCGATTTAATGCTATTGTGATGTATAAAACATATGCTTGAAAAACATGAAGTTCAATTTTATATTGCTGAAATAGCTCTTGCACTCCATTATTTACACCGACGAGATGTTATACATCAGTAAAAAATAAGCAAAAGCAATGTTCTATTTGATTACAAAGTTTTCCTTTTGTTTCTCGAAATAGAGATTTAAAACCAGATAATGTATTGATATTAGCAACAGGACATATTAAGTTAACTGATCTTGGATTATCCAAAATTCGAAATAGACGAAGTATGGTATAGATATTGTTTTTTTTTTAGAAAAGAATAATATACTAAGGCTTGAGAGAGAAATAACAGAGCTTTCAATTTTGAAGTCTGCTGTTTTTCGCTCTCGAGGGCTCTCTACTTGAAATATGTAAGAAAGTTTTCTAGAAAAAAAAGGATAGAATAAGGTAATTTTTAAGTTTCAGAGGATGTTGTGTCTTCTCTGATACGGTTACAAGTATCACAAAACACAATAAAATGATAAAAAACCGTGGCGACTCTTCATAATATTCAAAATTTTGTACTCTTTCAAATGATGTAGTTGAAAACAAACTCTCATTAGATCTTTGAGGACCTGAAAACTATCGTGTTTTGTTTTTCAGAAAAACTTTATTGATTTTCGAATCACTATTTGAATTTGAGTTAGATACTCAGCATTAGAGAAAACAAGTCAATATTATCTTATTCTCATAACTTGGAGCAGTACTATATACATATATTGAACTAGAAAACTAATTCACTTGACTTAATGTAAGTTTTTCGAAATGAGTAACTCTTTCTAAATCAATTTCGCAACTATTGAACTAAGTTTAAGAAAACATATAATTTGATACAAGGTAGTCTTTGATTCAAACAGATATACAGTAGATTCGAGTACAGACTATTCCAAATGTTGTATAGTCTTCGAAATTGCCACTATCGAAGCTGGTTTATAATTCATATAATTTTTTAGAAGTGTCAGTCACCGATGTTATTCGTACACCATCTGTATCTAAAGTACGTGCTTTTCGAAAACCTGGTCAAATTATGTCATGGATATCTGACTTTAGTTTTGTAAGAGTTTAGTTTTTTTTATTTTAAATCAATTATTTCTTAACTCATCTTATTTAGTCTTCTAGTGAATCAGATTCAGATCTATTTCATAAATCTACATCAATAGAAAATATTTATTCAAACAATAATTCTCATCTTTCAATAGCATTCTCACATATAACTGATTGTAGTTTACGTATCTATCAACAAATTATACCTGAGTGTATTCCTGAAAATGAACCATTATCATTTGGAGATGATGACTTTACGGATCATGAAGATGTAAATACAACTAATACATATCGATTTTCTCTTCTCTAGTTGACATAGACAAACATCAACAAACACATCACAAACAATAAAACTACATCACGGTTACCTGCGTCATTACTAGCTCATCAAAATCAATATCGTTTAATTCGTGGTATTGGCTGAACAGTTACTTCAACAACAACAATGACAACTGTTTCATCATCAGGTTCATCATGCTTATCACCTATTCGATATTCACTTGATGTATCACAAATCAATCAAAGTCTACCAAGTGAAAAACCAACGAATTTTGATCAGAATATTATCTCAATTCCAATGGAAGATATACAATTAAATCAACTTTCATTACCAATCGATGATAGCTCAGTAGAAGTTTGTATTATGAAAAAAATAAAATATATGCGTGAACTATTTTACTTTTTTAAACCGATTTGCACAATGAATTTTCGAGTTCAGGTTTTTTTTCATTTTAACTACAGCGCCCTCAATCGCACGCAGAGTTGTGTGTATGAATCACACCAATCAGTGGCAGATGTGACTAAAGGAAAGAGGTGACAGAGTTCATCATGGCACGAAGAAAAAACGATACGCACGATCAAGTCATAGTCACACTCGAATCTAGTGAGACAGATGCAGTAACAATAGATTTTAATTTTTCAGTTCTTCTATTGGTTAAAAAGAAACTTCAATGAAATTAGATTTAAAGCTCCATCTGTTTTTCTTCCATAATTTTAGTTGAAAACCTTTTAATATTCTTTAAAATAGCGATTAAATATTTTTCATAAGAAAAACTTGTTCATCTGATTTTGTCATAAACTTTTAGTTAGAAATTAAATTTTAAAAGATATTTACAAATTAGAATTTCTTCTCATTAGATAAAAATTAGAAAATGTTTTTTTTTGAAAACAGAAAAAACTATCGTATGATATATTATTTTGCAGCCAGTTTGTCATGCTCAAAATTATTCAAGTGGACAAATATTAAGTGATACGACAACGAATACATCTATTCAACGTAGTTTTCTTAAATCATCAAAATATAAAAAATGTTTCAGGACCTGTTTTGAGCACACCAGGTTATTTGAGTAAATACTTTCCATTTTTTTTGTTTTTTCATCAATTTCATATCGTAATTCATTTATTCTAGGTCCAGAAATCTTAATGCAAGATGAAAATCATAGTATGTAAATACATGAATCTATTTTTTATTATAAGGATTTTATTTTTTGTTTAGCAACAGGGGTCGATTTTGGGGCTCTTGGTGTATGTATTTATCAATTTGTTGTTGGTATAGCACCATTTTCAGATGATTGTCCACGTGAATAATATCTAATATTTTAAATCGTCGGTTTCTATTGCCTGAAGATGATGATAATCAATTATCAGAAGATGCCATAAGTATAATCAAAGATTTACTTAATTATGATCCAACTTCACGATTTCAATTAGCAGATACATGAATTATCTATTGATCAATAAATATATTTTGTTTTTGTTGGATACTTATTATTATTATTACTATTATTATTATTATTATTATTTAGATCTGAAAAAAAGAATTTTTTTTTAATACAATCGATTGGAATAATTTAGTCAATATGCCAACACCATTTATTCCAGTACCTGACAATGATTCAGATACGTTCTATTTTGAAGGTATGTTCTCATGTTTATCAAAATAAATTTGTTTGCTTCAAAAGACCTTCTTTTAGCTTCAAATAAAGTAATTGGTTTCGATGAAGAATCGGTTGATTATATATAGATGTAATAATAATCAATTGTGCACACGCTGTGTAACAGTAGACTATTGTCTAGTGATATTCCTTTTTCTTCGTTTATAAAATATATTAGATATAAATGTATGCATCTGTCGATGTTGACTTTAAAATTTTCCAAAAATATTTTAAAGTCAATGAGGTGCATTTAAAAGTCAGCTCCAACACATATTTTTGATAATTATTTTATTGTGCAACTGTTGTCTCTTGCAAAACTTTTTTTTTGTCTATTTCTTTTTTTATGTTTTCTAACTGGTTCATTTTATACAATTCTATGTTTAATACGCGTCTGTGTCTTAGGCTAAATGACGAAGGGACGAGCCAACAAGCACAATAAAGAAAGAAAATGAATTATTGGTAATTTTTGTAGAGAAAGAGGCTTGTAGTCATAGTTTACTTTTAGATAAATGGTACACAATGTAAAGAAAAAAAGAGGAAGAGAAGAAAAAAACATCACATCACATCATTTTGACTAACATAATTAATCTATGATTATGCTCATTTATTTAGATCGCCAAGATTTGTCAAAGTTAGATAAAGATGAAGAACGATCAGCTAAACCTTTTGATGAACTTGAAGATATTGTATCAAGGGTAAGAATTGATACAAATAAATTTCGTATGTTATGTGATAATGTTCAAAATAGTTATTCTAAAATTGATAATTCAATGTTTGAATTACTTGAATTAAAAGATAATTTACTTTTACAAATTCGACCACTAAGCGTCTCTATACGAATAACAATTGTTATACCATCATTATCTCGCGTTTATTCATTATCTCAAGTACCTATTAATGAACTTGTTCATTTTGATCAAATATATAGTCAACTATCTGATTCGAACCTCTACACTACCGATCATAGAATGACTCTGAACAAGTCGATAATGGCTGTTTGTCTCGGATCACCTGTTCAATAGATTTCTGACTGTGTTGTCACATATCTCTACTCCAGTGGCTAGCATATAGCTGGTCAGTGTATGTGAAGAGCTCAATCAATTGAGTGCAAAACTCTGCGTCAAACTTGCCTTCTATCTAAAGCTACACCTTGTGGTAGTCGTAGGAAAGATTTTGGATTACTGAATTTGCCTTCTTCTTCTTGATGATGAAGATGAAGTTGGTGATGCTGATCGAATCGAAACGCTTGATGATATTATGCTAATGTACAAGAAATCGACGGACAACAACGAATAGAACAAGTCTGCGTCTCTTGTTTTTTTTTAATTTATATTTATATAAATTTTATTATTTAGGATTCAGATTTTAGTGATGATACTGAAAATGTTAATGGAGGAAGCTGCTTTAGTAGTACCGAAAACAAGGAGCAAAACAATTAGTTTGATCAACGGAAGTCTACGAAACTCAACAAACAATTATGACAAAAAAATGATGTGGATATATAAGTACAGTTTAATGTAGATGATTAACAAACCTGAACTGGAGATTTTCTATCAACAATGTAAACAAAATTAGTAATTAACATACATCTATAATAAATTCTTTTCATAGATCACTTATTATACATGTATGTCAACCTATCGGACTTTTAAATAAAAAATTTCAATGTATTATTCATGCTCAACCCTAAATATATTCAACAGCTTTACTCATATTATATGTATGTATCATCTTTGTTCTTATGTAAACTTTGTCTATTCATCTACTTTTTAGAAACCAAATACTTCAAAAGACAATAATACAAAAAACAAAGGACGATTATCAACGAATCGAGTAACAAAACCCGTCCTTTCAAGTTTTTATTCTTCTACACAATAACATTAATACTATTGATAGGCAAAAATGTGATGAATCACTTGTTATAATGCCAGGTGTTGTTGAACGTCGATTATTATTTGAAACCGAAATTGATTCTTATGCTATACAGGATTTTTCATAGACAATAAAGATGTACAGCTTATAATGACAAACGCGTATCTATTGTTAAATTAGCTTTGCATGCGTTTTGGTATAATAAAGTTCAAATAATTCATGCAACAAAGTGCACAAGTAAACCATAGAACCTTTATTAAGATGAAGTACATTTTTATCGAAGCAATATTTCTCTACTTTTTGAACTCTGATTGTTTCGTTTTTTTACTGAGAGATAATTGTACTTGTTCTTCTTTTTTTATATTTTATCACTAAGACAATCGATAGAATCGAATAATATCACTTGCACTTCGACGTATGACAAATAGCAAAACTGTTCCGCTTATCAATGCGACCGTTGCTTTTTTCCATACCACTATTTTCTTCGACTGGCCAACAAACTTCTTCTAGATTACTTTATTCTTCATTTCGCTACCGTAAAATGTCTACACTTATAGAAAACTCATCAACTATCTCCAAGCCCAATGTAACAATGAAATCATCATTTTATCCTACAACTGAAGTTCGACGTAAATGGTGGAAA